GAAGTAGAGGAGTTGGTTGATTTTCTAGGTACTTTGTAAAGTTTAGATTTGAATCTCACTCCCCTGTAACATGTTTTTGGTGGTGGCCAGCAGTCCTAATGCTGAAGAATACAACAGTACTAATTCTCAAAAAAAAAAAAAAAAATGTATTGTATCTATATCTGCATCCTTTTTTGAAAGAATGGTAAATTTGTAACTATATTTGCAGTCTGTTTTGCCTTCCTCAACCAATCTCCTCATTTCTAATCAAAGAACTTTGATGATCCATCCACCAAAATACTGAAAACCTGCTGCCCCGTAAAGAGCAGATTGAGGATAACAACCATCTGTTCCTATATTGTAAATTTACAGCAAAGATTTGGGGAAAGAATTTCTAACCTTTTGGGCATTTATTGGTATATGCCCAGAATAACCCTACAGTTTTTGCAAGGATGGTGAAGAACATGCATACATAGGTCGTCGAACAAAATATGGAAGAATATTACAGCCACAGTGTGGTAGTGCATCTGAAAGAAAGAAATTGATGGCTGTTCAAGGACAAGAAGCACTCTGTTATGTTGTATTTTTTGCTTAACTTTTGGTGTAACATTGCTGTTGTAAAATTGACTAAACATAGTGCCATGATTCACTTCATTTAGTAATCACCTAGCTTGTAATGTGCTCTCTTGGTCTTTGTAATTTCCCCAGCTAGCATTGCCTTTATGCTGGGTACTGAATTTATAAAAGCATCTTTTACCAACTGAAAAAAGACACTGAAACACTACATCCATTTAGTCTTAACCATTATCTACTTCAGTTCTGAGGAAATATATGATAACTTTTCTTTTCACTTCACTGGATCCTTTCTGTCACCATACTTTTTATGTGGTAATTATCCAAGTCAACAAAATTAGTCTAATGAATGCTACTTACACAACCTTAAACAAATTAATAATGGACTAGCAGCATGTACTTCAATGCATGGTAGTTACATTTTAACAAGGGAAAAGGGTCAAACTTACCCTCAATTATTGAAAATAGAACTACTATACCCTACGTTTGGTTTTGGTAACATAAATACCCTATCCGTTTAGTTTATTGGCTCAGTTATGCCCTAAAACCTAACAAACTTCCATGTGTGATTTTAATCCAATGAAGAAACTTTCCATGCTGATGTGGCCACCCATAATCAATGGGGAGGAATGTTTATATTTTAGTAAAATGCCACATGGAACCAAATAAGAAGATTTCAGAATGGTTGGTTAAGGTTACGTCTGGAACTTTGTTTGGGACAGGAGTAATGCTTGTTGCAACCAGGTTAGGTGCCGATATAGGGATAATTGGAACTGGCCTTGGAGCTATTGGCAGTGGCCTAAGTAATTCTGGAAAACTTATGAGAAAAAAATTGACAATTGACATTCCAATAGTTCAAAGAAGAGTGGTTTCCTCAAGATGTACTTGCAAGTACTGATTAGTTATGTGAACTAATCGACACATAAAATGTGCTATTAACGTCAATTTTACAATATCACGACCACTATGCCTCAATCTCAAGCAAGTTGAGCGCTGAAGCCATTCAGAGTTGGGAAGAAGCTGGAATGCAGTCTAAGAGCAGAGAGAGATGGAGAATTGTCCCTGCTAGCATTTGGTGGGCAATATGGAAGGAGAGGAATTCCAGATTTTTTGATAGTATAGAAAACAGTCTTGCAAAAAGTCAAGCTTAATTGCTTGTTGCTACAATGTTTTTGGTGTAATCAATTTTACTCCAATGAAACTATCTCACTAATTGTTGTACTAGACTCGATTTAGGATCAGATAGCTGGATTTGATGATCTTATTGTAAAAATGGTTCAGCACTGCCTATGTACTGTTGTAGAAATATACAAAGTTACCTGTTTCAAAAAAAAAATCTGGTCACAAGCTTAAATTTATAGTCTCGGAATTGTTGGTACAACCATGTATGCCTGACTGTATAATCATACTACCTTCTGCATTTTCACAGTTGAAGAATTATTCAACCTAGAGTGAAGCTAGATGGTCCACCTAATGAACTGCTACCTTAAAGTAAAAGTACGTTATATCACCCGTTATCCCCCTACGATCAAATATAGGTGTGGAACATAGATAATGTCATCAAGCATGTGCAAGTCTAGAAAAGGGCATATATTTGCCAACCATCACACCTACATATATAATAATGTAGAAGTGATACAAAAGAAATGATTTGCATTAGCAGTAACAAACAAAAAAATGGATTCTGGTGAAAGCTACAAGCAAAAGGGCAAAAGAAGATAATAGATGGTCAAAACAATGATATTCAGAATGTACAATGCTCCGGAACCATAAGATGTAAAGTAGAAGACAACTTTGGACTATGAGGTAACAACCGATATGAATTTTACTTACATATTTTTCAACTTCTAGAATCTTCTTTTGAAGTTCTGTTCTTAATCGATTATTCTCATCAACCTGTTAAAGAAAAAATACATATAGGATCAGCAGACAATCTCTTCTTCTTTTTTCATAATTTATAAGGTAAATTATTTTATAAATGATGGGAAAATCACATACAAGCCAAGTGGTATACTAAAAAACAGAGAACCTACAACAAAATAAGGTTCTCTACACAAGAGCACCAATCCTCTATTCACGTAGATAGGTGCACCAAAAAGAATTTAGAAATAAGAGAGTATTTTGCAACTAAAAAGAATCTAGCAACTTCTTCAGATGCTCTCATGTTTCTCTCTCCAAAGAACCCACATAATGGTTGATGGAGCGACATCCAAACCGCCGTCTTCTCTTCCTCCTCCCGAAGGCCTAACCATACAACACCTCCTTCAATATTACACGGCACCAGCACCACCCATATTATCCCAAACCAATTTAGGACCAGCGACCATAACAATGTAGCGAGGTGGCAATGCAACAAGAGATGATCTTCTCCCAAACATCTACACAATACACATGTAGCACCATCTAACATAGGTAATCCTCCCCTTCCTTAAGCTCGTTGTTGTCAAGATCATTCCCCTTGAAGCCAACCACGTGAAGAAACAAACCTTCCTAGGCGCCTTAGGAATCAAATAGACTGGTAAGCAAAATCTGATTCTCCTCTCACTAGCAGGCACAGAAAATATGATTTGACTTGACTGTGTTGAAATGTGTGACCATCTCATCTAAAAGTTTAAGTTGTTAAAGAGAGCGCACTTTTATTGTTAATTGTATTGTCAACACGCCCCCACACGTGGGGGCCTAATTTTTTTCATGGGCCAAACACGTGAAAATTCATTTTGATACGGGTGGCGGTGAGATTCGAACTCAAGACCTCTACCTGATCTAATACCATGTTGAAGAGTGTGATCATCTCATCTAAAAGCTTAAACTGTTAGAGAGAGCATACTTTTATTACTTAATTGCATTCTCAACAGACGGTAAATATGTCATTCCTACTTTCACGCCATCTCGACAAATCAGAAATGTAATATGGTGCATTTTGCCTATATAATAGATCAACCAAACTTTGAATTTTTTCCATCTCCCAATTGAATTATCTGTTGCTATTATGTTTTTGTTGTAAGCAAATAAATTCATATGATACTCTAGTGCTACTATCATTGATGTTATAGACTCGATGTAAACGTACATCAGTATAGCTATAGGATTACATCTGTACATATGGTTTCAGTAAAACTCATGTACTGTTTTGTCCACTTATATAAATATATACAATAGTTACCAATTTCAAATAAAAAGTTGTATGTTTCCATAACCATTGAAACTAGGGGTGGGCGTTTGGTTCTTCAGTTCGGTTTTATCAAATTTTGGTTCGGTGTTTGGTTTTGAAAAAGTGTGCACCAAATAACAAACCATAATATTTCGGTTCAGTTTGGTTCGGTGTTTTTAAAAAGGTTTTTCGGTGCAAATAAAAAATAAAATGAAAATAATCAGCAGTGCAGCATTGCAAAGCCACCTGATGAGCGATGGTTGCTGCTTGCTCCAAAGTTTTCTTTTGTTTTGAAATTGGGTCATGGGTGGATCAAAAAATTAATATGTTTTTGGGGTTAAAATTTAAAATATATAATTAATAAAATTAAAATATAATTTTAAATTTAGTTAATAAAATTTCGGTTTTTCGGTGCACCTTTTTTGACCGATATTTATGCCCACCCTAATTGAAACCCCTTTGTGAAAATTATCAAAACTTCCTCAACTCTTATACAATGTTATCAAACGATCAAACCATAGTCCATGTTCCCTTAATAAATAAATGTTTATGATTATATACTATTACAAGCTTCCAAATACAAATATAATTACAAGATTACGTGCACTCATGAAAAAAAAACACTCCCAGACACAGTTCCCAATACTCTTTCTCTCTCCTACTTCTTAGGAGAGAGGAACCCATCTTTTCCGGCATCCTCCACCGGAATCACCCTTTTTTTTAATAGCCAACAATAATCACCCACTATGATTATTGATAAATCACCCACTAGTAGGATGGAGGAAAATCGAATCTATTTCAATGCTGGTTTCAAGTCTTTTGATATCACCAGATGGGAAACTGAGAAAGCTGAATGGTACGAATGGGTAGAGAGAAGCAGAAGGATGATGCACAGATCGTCCATGAGTAGAATGGTGTTGGAATGGATCTGTCTCTGTCTAAGAGAAGCATCCAAAGAGAAAAAGAAGGAGATAAGGAGGTGGAAATTAGCTGAGAAAGAGGCAGTGCATTTTTGCACGAGAAAACATAATATACATGGGAGGTTCATAAGCATCATAACAATATATAGAGGGGGAAGGTCAGGCCTAATTATTCCTGAGTTAGCATCGAATGCGGGGTGGTTGGATGTTGCATTGAAGATTGACAGATTCATTAAATGCAAGAAGGGAAAGGAGAAAATACCCAATACAAGGGTGGTTGCTGATTATCTATATGCTAATGCTATACGAGATAGTAAATGGCAATCCAGGAACCTACGCAGTGCAGAGGTCAAAAGCATTATGGGTAAGATGGAAGTTCTAGATAAAATAAGTACCCAGGAGGGTGATCTGTTATCTAGATGCTTAGTTGGGTATTGCAGTGAGAAGCCCAAGGAGAGGACAACTTTAGCAGACATAAGAAGATGGTCATCAACTAGTTGGAAGAAAGCCTTTGGAATCAACATTTACGAACTGAATGATGAGAAGTTTTTGTTTGAGTTCCCAAACAGAAACATGGCAGAACAAACCATTAATGAGCAGTGGCGTTGGAAGTCTTGTAATTTTAATCTGGAATGGTGGAAACCAACAACAGGTTGTACTCCTAAATATGCACTTGTTAAAGAAACATGGATTAGGGTTGTGGGGATCCCCCTACATCTTTGGTCAAAGAAGGTTTTCCAAGAGATAGGAGAAATCTGTGGAGGCTGGTTGGCTACAGAAGAGGAAACAGAGCTAAAAAATCATATGAAGTGGGCTAGGATCCTGGTAGCTAACGATGGTAGCAGTATCCCAAGAGAGGTGGAGGTCTCGCGCAAAGGCACTAAATTCCACCTTCCAATCTGGCCGGAATACTTGCCAAGATTTGAATCATCGCCGGAAAATGATAAGGGGGAAGATGAAACCTATTATCCAGTTCAGAAGTCTACCCAAAGGATTTTAGAGGAGGTCGTAGGTACCCAAGGGATTTTAGAGGAGGTCGTAGGTGATGATGCAAGGAGATCCCATCAAACTAGGGATTTGCTACTCTCTCAGCACGTGACAACGTCAGAGAAAGTTAAATCTAAAGCATGTGAGGGGCACGTGAGTTTTTTAAATGAGACTCTGGAGGTGGATCACCAAGTTGGGCCTAATTCCAAGTTACAGATTGAAGGCCCAGATGTGGCAGGCCTGGTAATTGCTAATAATTTTCAAGAGGACATAACGGTAGTCCAGAGCACCTTTGACTTTATCGAAGACATAACAGCTCAAGTGGCCATGAACGACAATTCTCAGTTACCCGAGAAGAGAAGTTCGCACGCGACGGTAGCGGAGAAATCAATTGAGTTAATGGGGGGAAAAGGAGTCGCAGATAGTGGGAGAAGAGGCTGATAGTCAACTGGAAAGGAATTTTGATGTGGGTGGGGATGATCGAATCAACATTGGGGTTACTACTCGAAATTCTGAAACAGAGTTAGTCAACTGGGAGGTTGATGATGTAGAGCCTCTAATGGTGCAGCAACAACTCATAACTCGGGGCAAGGAAAAAGAAGCATCTAATTGGGTGCAGCAAAATCTCATTAAATTGGGGAAAATTTTTGGGATTGATTTCCAAGGTCATGAAGAGGAAGCCACAGAACTTCTGATGCAAATAGACAGTTGCAGACAAGCAAGAAAACTGGAATCGTGCAGTGAAATTAAAAAAACTAAGACTAAAAAGGTGTACAAGAATTAAAAAACTTGGTATGTTTTGATGTCAAATTTAAAAGTACAGGGAACAGAGGAAAGGGGAGGAGTGCAAGTGCTAGTACTTGATGAATTTTAAACTAGTATCTTGGAATGTTAGGGGACTTAATAATTTAGAGAAGAGGAGGCTAGTAAATAGCATGATATGGGGGTGGAAGGCAGACATCATATACCTTCAAGAAACAAAACTGGAAGGCAATGTCGTAGATTAACCAAGCAGGTCTGGGGAGGAAGGTGGATCAGACAAGCATATCTGGAATCCAGTGGGACAAGAGGGGAGATCTTGATGACGTGGGATGACTGATGAGAGAGCTTGGAAGGGGGAAATCTTAGAAATAGGGGCATACTCCATCACATGTAAATTTGAATCTCAACTCCAAGATTTTAAATGCCACATCACAGGAGTGTATGCCCCAAACTGTTACAAGGAAAGAAGAATAGTGTGGGAAGAGGTGAGTGCAGTCAGAGGACTAATGGAAGGACCATGGGCTATTTGTGGTGATTTTAATGTAACAAGACACATATCTGAGAAGAAGAAGTGTACAGTAAGAACAAGGGGTGCTGATCTAGAAGCTGAGAGGGAAGACAGAATCCTTACTAATGAGGAGTCTGCCAAAAAATCTGAATTGATGTTGAAATATGAAGAGTTGATAAAAAAGGAGGAGATCTCCTGGAGACAAAAATCAAGGGCTCTATGGCTGAAGGAAGGTGATAAGAATACTAAATTCTTTCACAAGATAGCAAATGCACATAGGAGATACAACAACATTGATCAGCTTATGATACATGGAGAACTGAATCAAGAGCCAAGCAGAATTAAAGGGGAAATTGTTGAAAATAAAAGGTTGTATAAGGAATCATCTCAGTGGAGACCTGAGTACATAAATGTGCAATGTCCTGTCCTAACAGAAGAAGATAATCAAGCTCTACAAAGCAACTTTGAGGAAAGTGAAGTGCTGAGATGTCTGAAGTTATGTGCTGTTGACAAAGCAGCAGGTCCAGATGGTTTTACTATGGGGTTTTTTATTAAATGTTGGGATGTGGTAAAGCAAGACATCATGGACACCTTTCAAAACTTCTATGAACATGAAGTTTTTGAGAAGAGTTTCAATGCAACTTTTATAGCTCTTATACCCAAAAAGAAAGGTGCCAAGGAGTTGCAGGACTTCAGGCCAATTAGTCTAATTGGTAGCATCTACAAACTTATCTCCAAAGTTCTTACTGAGAGGCTGAAAAGGGTGGTGGACAAGTTGGTAGACTCACAACAAATGGCTTTTGTTAAAGGGAGACAAATAATGGATGCAGTTTTGATTGCAAATGAAGCAGTTGACTCCAGAAATAGAAGCCAGGTGTCCTTTGTAAGTTGGATATAGAGAAAGCTTATGACCATGTTAACTGGAAATACTTAATGAAGATGTTGAACCTGATAGGTTTTGGGCAGAAATGGTTGAACTGGATAAAGTTTTGCATATCAACTGTAAGATTCTCAGTACTCATCAATGGTAACCCTGCAGGTTTCTTTCAAACCCAAAGGGGTCTCAGACAAGGGGATCCCTTGTCACCTTTTTTATTCCTGATCACTATGGAGGGTTTAAACAACATGATGAAAGTTGAGGAAAGTGAAGTGTTGAGATGTCTGAAGTTATGTGCTGTTGACAAAGCAGCAGGTCCAGATGGTTTTACTATGGGGTTTTTTATTAAATGTTGGGATGTGGTAAAGCAAGACATCATGGACACCTTTCAAAACTTCTATGAACATGAAGTTTTTGAGAAGAGTTTCAATGCAACTTTTATAGCTCTTATAAGCAAAAAGAAAGGTGCCAAGGAGTTGCAGGACTTCAGGCCAATTAGTCTAATTGGTAGCATCTACAAACTTATCTCCAAAGTTCTAACTGAGAGGCTGAAAAGGGTGGTGGACAAGTTGGTAGACTCACAACAAATGGCTTTTGTTAAAGGGAGACAAATAATGGATGCAGTTTTGATTGCAAATGAAGCAGTTGACTCCAGAAATAACCAAAAGAAGCCAGGTGTCCTTTGTAAGTTGGATATAGAGAAAGCTTATGACCATGTTAACTGGAAATACTTAATGAAGATGTTGAACCTGATAGGTTTTGGGCAGAAATGGTTGAACTGGATAAAGTTTTGCATATCAACTGTAAGATTCTCAGTACTCATCAATGGTAACCCTGCAGGTTTCTTTCAAACCCAAAGGGGTCTCAGACAAGGGGATCCCTTGTCACCTTTTTTATTCCTGATCACTATGGAGGGTTTAAACAACATGATAAAAGCTGCTAACTTGAGAGGATGGATAAGGGGTTTTGATGTGGCCAGAGAAGGTACTGAGAGACTAGAAGTCACACACTTGCAATATGCAGATGATACCTTGATTTTCTGCGATGCTGAGGAAGAACAACTGAAGTATCTAAGAGTGATTCTGGTC